AGTTCGGTCCCCTGCAGAAGAAGAAGAAGAAGAAGAAGAGGGAAAAAAAAAAAAAAAACCCCAGTTCGTCCCCCTGCAGAAGAAGAAGAAGAGAGAAGGAAAAAAAAAAAAAAAAAAAAAAAAAAAAAGTCCCCAGTTCGTAACCTGCAGAAGAAGAAGAAGAGGATAAAAAAATAAAAAAATAAAAAAACCCTAGTTCGTCCCCTGCAGAAGAAGAAGAAGAGAGAAGGAAAAAAAAAAAAAAAAAAAGTCCCCAGTTCGTAACCTGCAGAAGAAGAAGAAGAGGAAAAAAAAAAAAAAAAAAAAAAACAGCAGCAACCCAGTTCCCCCCCTCACACCCACCCTCTCCTCTCCACACCCATTCCCCCACCACCCCCCCTCTCCCCCCCACGGACCCCCGCCGCCCATTTTCTCCTCGCCCAGGAGAATGGGTTTTTTTTTTCTGGGTTTTTTTTTTTTTTTTTTTTAGGGGTTGTAGATAGTGGGTGCGAGGTTGGGGTGCGAAGATTGGGTGCGTGGGTGTGGGAGAAGAGGGGTTGAGGAGCAAGGAAAACAAATTGATTTTTTTTTTTTTTTCTCTTCTGTTTTTCTAGGTTGTAGTTGCAGAAAGGGGAAGATGAAGATGGGGAGAAGGGAGAGAGGGGGGAGGGATTGACGTTGGTTTTTTTTTTTTTTTTTTTTTTTTAAATAATTTTTTTTTATTTTATATTTAAATAATATTAAATGATTTTTTTTGTTTTTAATAATTTTTTTTATTAATTTTTTAATAAAAATGGGTCCCAGATCAAGCCACGTCAGCATTTAACTGAGAATAAACGGCCAAACTAACGGAAGGTATAACATTGACACAAATTCGTAAGATGAGATATGACATTGTCAATTTTAAAAGATGAGGTATGAAAGTGTCATTTGACCCATACTTGAGGTAGTTTTTTGTAATTAACCCTATATATATATATATATGAAAAAATATATAATATGTACGTTTATTTATTTAATAATTTTAAGACACTAGCTAGTCAATGTTTCCGTTTGTTATTACAGTATTTTGCCCCATTTCGTTGTTATATGTATTACTAGAAAGTGCACTTTCTAGATTCTGAGAGGATGCTACGAAATCCCAAAGGACCAAAGGGCTAGAGGGTTGGCCATTTTTTTTTTTTTTTTGCTTATGTTGGATTTCCTGTTGATTATAACCGACATAAATTCTTTGAATATTTTTTTTAACAGTTTTATTATTATTTTTTATTTACAAAAAATTTTCTATAACTTCTATTTTTCATATATTTTTTTTTAAATTCTATTTTTTTTCCTATAATTTTTATTTTACAAATTTGTTTCATATATATATTTTTTTTAAATTTCATTTTTTTTCCTATAACTTCTATTTGTCTCACAAAATTTGTTTCATTTTATTTTAAATTCTATTTTTTTTCCTATAACTTCTATTTCACAAAATTTGTTTCATATTTTTTTTAATTCTATTTTTTTCTATAACTTCCTAAGCCATTATACAATATTAAATTAAAGTAAGTAACATGAAACAACATTAAACAATATTAATAACATTAACCAACATAAAAATTATACAACATAAAAAAAAACATTTAACAACATTTAAGTTGTAGTTTTTAAATAATAAATTATGTTTGGCCCTATTGTCCTTTGACCTTCGGTTGGAGACGGTTGTGACATCCCGTCCCAAAATCTCGAAAACTCTCGTGTGAAATTACTATTTTGCCCCTAGTTCGTTCTTTTACGTTTATTGATTGTTTTTGGTGTTGTGCTGGCATGTCCTTGGGCACACACACACCCCCATACCTGTACCACCTTCTGTCACTCTCTCTCTCTCTCTCTCCTGAGCCCATTTCCTTCCTCTTCCTTTTGAAAGTGTACGGACACACACAAACACGCTCAACCACTTGCAGATCGAGGGAACCAAGACCACCCTCGTGCTCGTGAGGCTGAGAAGAGTCCAGTGGTACCATTTTCAGGTAAGGTTGTAGCCGTTTTCACGTCGATTCGACGAGGTCGTTTTAGTTACTATTCATGCAAAATTAACCTAGCACGTTTTTGGGATTTTGAAGCTCGTAGGTGTCTTAGTGAGGTTCCAAGGAACCTCGGAGTACTTCGTTGGACGAAATTGGACGTCGGAATCGCCTGGTTCGAGCTTGACCGGTTTTGGAGGTTGGTGACAGGTGAGTTTTCGTAGGTTTTAGCCCTTAAAACTTGTGTGGACGTGTTCTACTAGTTTAGGGCTTCATTTTGGTGTTAGAATCGTGAAAAATGGTTGAGAATCGAGTGAGAAAACACGGTTTACAGGTTTTCCAGTTTTCCGGCGCCGGCGACGGACACCGGAGACTAAACGGGGAAGAAGACGGAATATTCCGTCAGATTTGACGGAATATTCCTGACGCCGTTAACGGAATCTGTCAAAACTGACGGAATATTCCTAACGGCGTCAGTTGACGCCGTTCGTGTGCACCGCACGTGCCTGCGCGTGGCCGGCGCGTGCGGCGGAGAAATTTTTTTCTAAAAATATGGTTGTGATCCTGAGGTTATGTAGAGCACGTTGGTATATTCATTTGTCCATTTTGAGCAATGTATGAGAAGTTATTACGAAAGGAAGGTTAGGTGCTTTATAATTAATGTTTTTATAGTTATTTCGCATATAGGTGATTCCTATCCCGAGGACGAGCGTGCGCACTCGAGACAGGGGGGCTACGACCCTTCCACATACCAGTGAGTGGGCTTTTGGTTTTCCGTATACACCTATATACATTTATTTTCCCAGAAATTGTTTAAAAAGGGTTAATTGTTTATGCCATGCACCATATTATTATCGTTTATGCACCATTGCATGCATTAGTAGTGGCATACATATACATATGCATATTTGGTGCTGTGGACGCACAGGTAAGTGCCAGGTAAGTGTTATTCATGTTTATATATTCAATTGTGGTTTGAGAGGCTTAGAGAGCTCATAACCTGCACCCCCGGTGTTAGTGCTCCCGCCCAGAGTAGGGCACAGTCCTTCACGTGTTGTTCACCTCCCGCACCACACGCTCAGCTTGGATCCAAGTTAGGTGCACAGTCTTGTCGTACAGACCACTTTAGGTGGTTCCGACTCGTAGGTGACCCGCGATTATTCGCACAGCCTTCACGTGATCGTAGCACTAGAGCGTTTATATGTATTACACCCAGGCCTGTCGTACAGACCATTATAGGTGGTTCCGACTCGTGGGCAGGTTTAGTTATTGAGATTGAGATTTGAGCTCTAGATTCAGCCGTCTAGGTCACTTTAGGTGACTCCGGCTGCCAGTGATATGTTATTGATACGGTTTATACCTGAGCACTTGCATATCATTATGAGGCTTTGACATGGCATACCTTTGAGCATGATTGGCATACCCTTGAGCATGATTGGCATATTTATACATACGTATATGTGTTTATTTTCTGGGAAGTATACAGGTTTTACGGTGAGGGGTTAGAATGTATTTTATTAAATGGTTTTCAAAGAGTTTTGTTTTTGCCCACTCACGCTTTTGTTTTGCGCCCCTCCAGGTTCTAGTGGTCTAGCAGGTTCGATGGTTTTCCCAGTGGGCGTCCCGGCATTTCTGACAGATACTCACCAGTGTAGGGTCACCTTCGGATGTACTATTGTCGTATCATTTCCTTTGGACTGCTGTAGGCTTTATGCTCTAAATTCAGCGTCTCGCTTACGCTAGCACTTATCTTATCACATTATGTATGCTAGTTTTTAAATTATTCGTACTTTTATATTACTTCTATTAGCTTCCGCACTGTGCACATGGCTACGTCACTTCCACGTGACGGCCAGCATGCCCTGATCTCGGTCGGGGTGTGTCACGGTTTTTTGTGATAGGGCTAAAACGAGCCCTCTGGCCCTTTGGCCCTCGGTTGGAGATAGAGGCAAATATGGCCCTGTACTGTTCATTAAAATATTAATATCTTGGAGAATCTTGGAGGGTCAGAGGGCTAAAACGAGCCCTCTGGCCAGCCATCGGTTGGAGGTGGCCTTACAAATTTGGATTTGGACAACAATTTTGTAGACGGATGGTTTGAAGGCTTGAGCCGGAGACATTTGAGCGTCATTAGTCCGTATTTAAAACGCATTGTGTTAAGGTTATCAACTTTGAGATGTACGATTGATGCTCCGAATCTGTGTTAATTTTGGTTCCAGAGTAGTTTGACTTTAATTCTAATACGTTTTTGTGATCGGGCGAGTGCAAAATGTGCGTAAATGCTCCGCATTCATAAGAGGCTACAACCCAACTTCAAAACTTGTACCGTCAGTGCGTGCCATCCCGGTACTACAGTTCAAAGTTCATCTTCCAAGAGCTAGATAAGCCAACCTCTTGACAAGGATGTGATCAGTGTCTCTTAAGTTGATTTTTACAAAATGAGAAATATTATTAGATCGTAATGATAATTGCTGAAGACGAAGAATAAAAACCGTTGTGATTACATAAACCAAGTATCTTCAATATGAAAGTTGTGGGGTTCCCTTTGGAGAAGAATTGCAACACTAATTATTCTTTGATTTGAGCCCCATTTTTAAACAAATAAAAACTTGGCTTTTTAGCCAAAATTGTTCTATAGCCTTTGACATTAACATAACTCCTAAATTTGATCCCTGAGATTTGAAATTGGTAGAAGTAGTCCATAAGTTTATCCATCATCAATCATTTTAGTCTTTCCATAAAAAATCTCCATTAAATAAGAACAAAATGACAAAAATACATCATTTTAACCCATTATTTATTAAATTGAGGGTATTTTTGTCATTTGGATCCTAATTTAATAAAATTTTCGCGGAAGAACCAAAATGATTGATATTAGACAAACTCGGAACTCCTTTTATCGATTTCAAATCTTAGTGACCAAAATGAGATGTTGAACCATTTTGGCTAAAAAGGCTAAAAACTCTTGCACATCAACCTTTTTGGCGAAAGAAATCCTCACACAACTTAATATAAATTTAACATCATTATTCTTTATAAGACAAAATAAAATAAGGGTTATTACCAATGTGTTTTGATCAAATAGACAAATACCATAAGCTTCTCATACAATTAGATAACATATTGGTTTTCTCGTAGAAATTAGTAATGGTTCTCACATTCAATTTCTTCTAAAAAGAGGGTATGAATATGATATTACCGGACTTCTTAGACCTTCATACCGAAGGTGAGACTTTTACTTCCCTCAAAACTTTTGCAGCATCTTCCGGGAATACTGGGTTTATGTAACACCCAGTTCCAATTTCAAACCCTGCCGCAACACCTAATTGAGGTACGATCTGCAAGAACCAATGGGAGTAAGATAACTGTGAAGCACTATCCCGAAGAGGAGAAGTCTGAACCATGAAATTGAACGGCGGATTGTTCAACTGCAAAGACATCTTCCTAAGCATGAGTTTTAGGAGCCCTCCAAGGTCAACTGCCTGCAAAGTTGCATATAGCTGTGAAGCAAACAATAAATGTATTTGAAGGAAAATATTTATATCATCAGATGCGCTGAATGGGCCATCTATGAGTGTACGACAAATACAAGTTTTTACATTACGGTACCACACGTATCAAACAGACAAGCAAAAATGTTTTGCCAATTATTTAGTACTGCATTACCAATATGCAGAATTCTAAGTGCTACAAATTTAAACGATTCCAGCTAAAATAATACCCTTGAGCGCATCTTTGAAGATCTAATTTCCTTTGGCCTCCTTCAGATCAATTCTTTTCAGGTTTGTTTTCAAGACAAAGACAAAGTCCTAAACCCTTAAAATTTGAACGTCATACTATCCCTATTATAGTCTCTACTACAATACCGGAAGCAACTCCCGGCCATTGATGTTTAATTCACATAATATGTTCTTTTCTCAAAACTTGGCTGTTATAACATAAAACCCCTCCGTATTTACAGATGGTCATGGAGCCCATATTGTGCAAATAACTGTTGCAAACAAGAAACCCAATTAACAGTTTATCCACATTGCAGGATGAAAGTAGCAGAATTTAAGTGATGATCACCCAAATTTACACACTTTTACCAAAATTATACCTATGTTCTCTAATTAATATTTCAGAATAAAAAGGATGCTAGCTCGGTTTAAATACCTTGTCGGCGTCTAGTTCATGGAAATGAGGAGAGTGATCGAGAGGAATAACCCATATCTCAAATGGAAATGTAGCAGCAAACGGTACAATTGAAACAAAATGGGCTGAAACATCAACCAACAGATCCTTTGAAGATTTGAATTCACAAACGCTGCAGTTCCCAGTCTGATCAAAATACTCCTTCATACTGTCAAGTCGGGCAGCAACTGCAGTTGGAACAATTGGAAGTGCCATTAACTGACTGTGAGAGTGGCTCATTGATGCCCCAGCTGAAGCACCATGATTCTTAAACACCTTCAAGCATAAACAACAAATCAGCTTAAATGGAAAACGGACTCAGATACACTTTCTTTCTTTTTACAAAATATAGGATGAGTACACTAAATTCTTCTAAACTACGGCGAGGGAGATTCGACTGCTCTAACCAACTTGGCTAAACCCCTGCCTGCAAAAGCACATTTACTTAAAGGCTTATGCTTTTAGAAAGACCCAAATCTCCAAATGCAAACCAGGCAGTAAAGTCCATATAGAACTAGAATTCTACTGATTAATAAGAAATAAACTAAACTCGAAATTCTTAAAAAGTGGAAGGCTGGAAACCAACCTGGACGTATCTGATGACATCGTGGATCATAAGCTGCCGGATCCTCGTCGTGTACGCAACAAGAATCTCGCCAATCTGTCTCGCCGACAAATCGGAAAGCTGAACGGAGTGAACAGGGGTCTCAATCACCACGTCGTGGAACCCAAGCCCACTGATCAAGACCCGACCCGGACCCGAATCGGAGTTCTGGTGTAACGGGTCTTGAGCAGAGACGACGTCCATGTCTCTGCTGAGGGCGGGGTAGAGGTTCTGGATGACCCGGATTGTCCAGTCCGGATTGTCGGGCGGGATCCGGAAGATTTCGGGAGCGCACTCGTGCTCGTGGCCGATGCAGAAGGGGCACTGTTGTTGTTGGTCGGAGTTGGGGTTGATGGGGGACTTGGATTTGAAGTCGGAAGGTCGCTTGGCTCTGGCGGGTGAGAATATCACCCACCGCTTCGTCACTGAGTCTTTCCTCAGTTGCGGGGTTCGAGCTGCTGAATCTGATGCCATTGCCTTCCCTCTGTGTCAGTTAGATGCCCTCTTCCTTAATCAAGCTTTCCCTTTGATGAAGATGATATTCCAATATGATGAACAAACAACGCGTTGATTTGGTCTCGTTGTTTTTCTAAACCGCAACCCACATTTCCTAAACCACCCCCCAATTCGCTTTTTAAATTATAATTTATCTTAATATACCCCATATATATTTTCCAACATTACTTCGCATCCCATGCACTTTGTGTCAATTATGGCTTTTTTTTGGTTTCGTTTTCTAGAGATGTTGGGATTTCTCCAATTGGGGATCATTTTTCTCTCTTGCGCATAATACCTTGAATTTTTCAAATCTTTTTTGGATGAATTCGGGGTATCTCCACACGTAGGCGAGGACTAATCCCTCGAGCCGGGTCTAATCCCTCGAGTCGGGTCAGAGCCTCATTCCTGGACCGCGTGGGGGGGGGGGTGTGGGAAGCTCCCAATGTTGGCTTCTCCATTCATAATGTAAGGGAAACAAGCTCCTTACCACTTTCAAATCTTTTTCGATCACATGGTAAGCAAAGTAATTAGAAATAAGATAATTGTATGAGTTCCTTCGTCTTTTGGTTGGTTTAAGAGCCCATTGGAACGATTGCGGTAGTATCATTTGGTGCTGAACATTAGGTTTCTCATCCACCATGTTGTCTTCCTTTAGCTTCATCTACGAGTTACATAAAATAATTCAACAACCGTTACTATTTAAGATTGATGTTGGATTGCCTCGTCATAAATTATTTTTTAACGAAAAACTCCCGGTATTGTTCACTTTAATGAAAAATCATATTTTTACACTAAAAAATCAATCTTGGTACTATTCACTTTACCCTTTATTTTATCCTTATAGTTAAAACTCAAAGTTTTCAATTAATTTTTATTAATTTTTCTTTTTTCTTAATGTCAGATTTTCTCTTTTAAAATTTCGTTAGGCTTAAATAGTCATTTGGTATGTAAGTTATTTAATAAACAAATTTTAATTTTAACTTCATCAATGATGTAGGATCATCTTATAAAACGACGGGCCTTCTTGCAAGCTCTCCCTCAACGTTGTATGACTGTTGGTCGTGGATCAAGGGTGCAAACGGGCTCAGGATTGCAAGGTTCCAATACAGAGCTTAACTCGAATTTCAGTTAAAAACTGTGACCTCTGGTTCGTATTGGGCAACATTCAATTTGACATCGTTATGGAGGACATAACTTAGCTTCGATCATGCAACTATGTGTTACAAGTTACAATCATTAGTCAACGCTTAGTGAGTAAAAACTAGTATTTTCTTAAGCTTATTCAAGTTAGTTAAAACAGCGTACTGTCTTTCTCTTTAACATCTAAGTTCGAATCATTCGTCTGTTATTTAGATAAATTTGATGTATATTTATCTTATCGTGTGTTGAAAAAAAAACATAAAGACAATTGGATAAAATGTAATTTTTGGTACAACTACAGAAAGTGTTCGAGAAGGAAACCATGTGAATATTGAGAACATTTGACCAAGAGATTTTTATGCTCTTGATGCTGATGGCTTGATAATCACTTTTAACATTTAGCTCTACTTTTTACCAGTGTATATGTGCTACCTCCAGTCAAACCAACTAATTTTACATTTGGGACTTTTTTTTATTGAAATTATTTATTAGGGAATTTGGGGAAGGCAGAGAAATTACTTCTCAATCCTACAACTCATATCATATGTGTGTGGTTGGTAAAAAATAAAATAAAGGACTATCACCAATCAAATATGATTTATTAAATAAAATAAAATAAAAAGTAGGTCAAGCAATGCAAGGAGTATTGTGTAAACTCACAAGCACTCATGTAATTGTACGGTCCTGCTTTCTCCTTATCTTGGGGATCAAATATGTAATAGCCATAAGATTATATTAGTTTAGATTCAAAGATCTACAAATTTGACTACTTAATAAAGCAAAACTGACTTAAAATCCATGATTAGGAAACTAGTTTCTTGTTTTGATTTATTAAATTGTCTAATATTTTAAAATTTTCATCTAAACTAATTTACTTTTACGGTAAATATACATTCGATCTTCACAGAGATCTTCAAAATAAAAACTTTAGAATAACACGACTTTGTAATTGTAATTTTGGAATTTTGGAATTTGATCAGGTCAAACTGTGTCTAACTCACAAAAATACTCATATTTTCTTATAATAATAATACTAACATATAATTTGGAAAAAGGAAAAGAAAATCATTTTAAAAAGGAGCTTTTGGTTATTACAAGGCCACATTTTGATGTTCCATGACTTTGTCTTTCCCATATAAAAATACAAAACCACACAAGAAACTTATTCGTACACCACTTCACACCTTCGCTCATTTTTAGACACATCAGTTTTGAAATTTAGATTTGGAACGCCACCCTTTATTACATATTAACATATCCATGATACTCTACTCCTATTTATTTTCTAGAGATCAAGAGAAAAAATAAAACATAATCGTAATTGGAACTCTACTGTACTGTAACGGTGTACTGTGATCCACATCTTTAAGTTTAAGTTGCTCCACTCAACTGGGAGTCTAGAACGCACTACCACCATCAACATAATATGTTATTTAATTTTCTGAGGGAAAAAACATAAATAAAATGAAAATTTAAATAATTATAATTTGTTAAGAAGAAAAGAAGAAAGAAAAGTACTTAAGGAAGGCAGGGTGAGGGCTTCACCTCTATTTATAGCCCTCAAAGCATACAAGTCTCTCATTACCAAAAAAAACAAAAATCTTTTTGAGCTTGTTTCTGATAAGAGAAGGGAGAAGAAGGGAAAATGTGTGTGCCTCTGTCGCTTTGTTTTCACTGAACAACACAACGACGACGACGATGACGACGACGATCTGCTCCCTAAACCGATCATCGCCCTTCTGAATCCGTTTCGGCCACTCATCCTCCTCCTGCTTTCTCCGTTTTGTGGAGCCGATCGGTGAGCAATCTTCATTTTTTGTTTGCTTTTTATTTTGCCTTTTCATTTCTTCAACTGTTTCGATGATCGCTTTGTATTCAAAGTTTCCTGCTTTGTTTCGATGATCGGAGTGCTGATTGCTCACAAATCGATCTGATTCGGATGTTTATTCGTTTTGTTCATCTGATTCATTCGTTGAATGTGTAGCTGAATTTGTATTTTTGGTCAGAGTCATCGTTGTGCTGAATGCTGAGTTTGGTGAAGTTTCGTGCTTTAGGTTGAAGCTAATGACTGGTTAGGAATTGACCAAAGAAAAATGACCGATTAGGATAAAGAAACAAAAGATATCACAGAACTGGAAAATCGGAACGGATTCATTTTATTAACATTATTTGGGCATTTGCCTTTCATTTGTTGCTTGGCGTTTGGAACTTGGATCTTTCAAGCGATATACACATGCCCATTAATATTATATTTGCTGTTTCAGTACCCTACTTTTCCTCTATAGGCACCAATTGAGGCAAGCTTCACAGGATTTTTTTTCTTGTTGTGTTTGTTTTGATTTTCTCGATCAATCAATGTTGTTGCGGCCTTGTTGTTGTTCTTAGTATATTATTGTATGATACAGCAAAATTATATGGTCTGGATTGTGCCTGCAATGGGGTTTAAAATTCCATTCATGGTATTGTTTCAGTTTTATGCTTGTTAAGAATAAATTGTGTTTTGCTTAAGAATTTTAGTGATTTCTTTCCTGTTGTTTATGTTCCAGAGTATCCTGAAGGGATTATTGGGTGGAATGTGATTTGCATGGGCTGAGGATGCCAGAGTTGCGAAGCGGAGTGCGCAGATCAAAACGGCTTGATGATCTTCAGCCTTCCTCACAACCACCAATTGGTCAGGCTGAAAATTGTGTACTACCTGCCCAGAATAAACCTCGGAGAAGAGCAGGTGGTGGTAGGGGAAGAGGTGGTAATGCTGTAGCAAAGGTCCTTCACCGGCAATACCCACTAGGCAGACTGCAGCTGGTAGAGGTCGGGGCGTTAGGTTGATAGATTTAGACCCTGAACCTTGCGAGGTCCGTCCCGAAGCTGCTGCTTTAGGAGCTGCTGAACCCATTTATAATCGTGCGGACGTTGTAGCAGATAAAGATATTGCGATGGAGGGTGGTGGAAGTGCGGATAAAATAGTGGGAGGTGAAGAAGAAGCAGGCGGGACTCCTGTTCCTGATAGGGTATATAGCCTGTACTTACTACTTTTGATTGGGTCCGTTTTTGTCTCTTTAGAGTTTTAAACACATATTATTAATTCCATTGATGTGGGACTACTAATTGTAGAACCAGCTGTTATGACTAAATACTCTGGTGATTATACCCTATTTGGCTGATCATCAGCGTTACAAAAAAACAGTTCTATGTTTCCGAATCTAATTGTTCCAGTGACGTGGATGGCCAAATAAGAATGTAACCATTCTCTTTGAAAGGAATGGTACCTTTAATAAATGTCTTGTTGTGTATACAGAAATTAAGCGTTTCGGTTGCTTGCTGCAGGTACAAGTGGGTAACTCTCCTGTGTACAAGGTAGAAAGGAAGTTGGGTAAGGGTGGTTTTGGTCAAGTTTATGTTGGCAGAAGGGTTAGTGGTGGCACTGATAGGACAGGACCTGACGCTATTGAGGTACCTAATCTGATTTTTTGAACTTCTATTTTCTTTTTGGTTACAACTTTTATTTTCTGAATCACAAATATTTGATCTTTTTTTTATTCTTTTTACAGGTTGCTTTGAAGTTCGAACACCGAAATAGTAAAGGTTGCAATTACGGCCCTCCTTATGAGTGGCAAGTTTATAAGTGAGTTTTGTATTCTTTGTTTTTTTCCCCCCAGTATTTTACTACATGATTACATATAACTATCTTTAAGTTTGTCTGCATTACTCTTGAAATGTTTCGAATATTTCTTCTGATTCTTGTGGTTATTTTCATCTCTTTAACGTTAATAGTAATCTAAATGGATGTTATGGAATTCCTTGGGTTCATTACAAGGGTCGCCAGGGAGACTTTTACATTCTGGTAAGATTTGATTTGGAGTTCCTTACTGTCTGATTGGAGTCCGAACTCATTTACATTGTCTGATGGGTCTGTTATATTTCAGGTCATGGACATTCTTGGACCCAGTCTTTGGGATGTTTGGAATTCTCTTGGGCAATCGTAGGATACATTCTCTCTCCCTCTCTCTCTCTCTCTC